GTGCATTTACTTGGATTCAGCTTCATGCGATATTGGCGGAGCAGGTTGAATGCCTCAGCAAGGTTTTTGATGTGATCTGGACGTTTAGGAGCTTTGACCAGCATGTCGTCCACATAGACCTCCATAGTTTTGCCGATCTGTTCCTTGAAGATTTTATTCACAAGTCTTTGGTAGGTTGCTCCGGCATTCTTTAGACCAAAAGGCATAACCTTGTAGCAGTAGGTCCCTCTCTCGATGATGAAAGAGGTTTTTGCCCTGTCATCCTCGTGCATCAGGATTTGATTATAACCGGAGTAGGCGTCCATGAAGCTGAGCAATTCATTGCCGGAGGTGGAATCCACGAGTTGGTCAATTCTCGGCAACGGGAAGTTGTCTTTAGGGCATGCCTTGTTGAGGTCGGTGTAATCGACACAAACTCTTCATTTGCCCTTTTCTTGTTTTGCCACCAGAACAACGTTGGCCAGCCACTCTGAGTAGGAGACTTCTTCGATGAAGCCGGCCGCTAAGAGTTTGTCGATCTCGGTTTCAATGATTGCGACCCTCTCGGGAGCGAAGTTGCGTCTCTTCTGCGCCACTGGCTTGCTAGCAGGGTTGACGTGGAGCCGGTGGCAGATAATGTTTGGGTCGATGCCAGGCATGTCAGATGGCGACCATGCAAACATGTCTTTGTTATTCTGGAGGAAGGTGGTGATCTCCACCTTCTCGTCTGGGCTTAGGCGCGAGCCGATCCGCGCTTTTCTGTTTGGCTGGTCAGGATCCAAGGGTATTAGCTCAACGTCCTCTTCGGGTTTCCATCCTTCTTCTGGGGAGATCTCTGGATAGATTCCCTCGGCTTGGTCCTGACCCTTTAATTGCTATGAAGGAGCGATATTCGCTTGTCCAACTTCCTTTAGATCTGCCTGATTCACAAGGAGGAACTGTGTTATCTTGCTTTTCTTCAGCCCTTGAGCCGAACATTTCCTCGCCATTGCCTGGTCGCTGTTGATCTGGCCGACACCGCCCCCATGAATTGGGTAGCGAATTTTCTGATGTGTGGCAGAGGTGATGGCGTTGATTTTGCCAATCCATGGTCTGCCCAGGATGCCATTGTAGGGTGAGACTTCATCAATGACCATGAATGTTTGTGAGCATATTACAGGTGGGGAATAGACGTCGAGGTCTATTGTGCCCACGGTAACTGTTGTTGCACCATTAAAGCCAGTCAGCGATCTGGCTGTTTTGTTGATCTTTGCTTCCAAGCCCATCTGTTGAATGACTGCCAGTTGCAAGATATTAGCTGCGCTGCCCTCGTCTGCATGGATTCGGTCGACCATGGCTTGAGCGATTTGAATGCTAATGACAAGGGCGTCGTTATGTGGCATGTCGAGACCGATCAGGTCTTTCTTCTTAAAGCCGATCATAGGGTCGTCTTCTGCTGGTAGAAGGTCGGTCGTGATTTGGGACATCATAGTGGCCTGTTTGATCTTCCTCTTCGTTGCTTGTTAATCCAGACTCCTCATAGTC